ACAAAAGCAAATGTACTTCATTCAACAGGTAGAATTATCTCTACAGCGAGAAAGAAAAGTTGTAATGGCTTTGTTGTACATTGTATTCAGGGACAAAGAGCCAATAAGTCGTCATTTACCATAGTTATGCTCAGTATGCTGGGAAGGGCAAAGATGTGACATATATATGTTGAAAGGTAGGCCGACTGAGAACAGGTCCTAGGTCGTGTGAAGGAAGCAGCATTTAGTAACTACGAATAAAAAATAGAAATAAAACCATGCCAATATTTTTATGACAATGTGTTACAATCAATTCAGTCAATTACATCATAAAAACAATCAACCAGTTTCTTGATTAATTTTAGCTGTTAAGGAAAGCAACTCAAAAATAATGATCGGTGCTGGTATATCCATGTCTTGTTTCTATATTTACATTTTCAGCCAAAGTATGAAGTCATAGAAAATGAAGATACAATAATGTATATAATACAAAAACTGTATGAAATAAATGCATGGGTTTTAAAAATATTATTGTGAAAAATTATGTAGGTTCTTTTTATCAACATTTTACATATGAAATGCATTGAGAATTATAAAAACACTGATTTGACAAAAATCTGAAAAAAAGAAGGTTGGATTGGTAGATTAAACGATCCAGAATATAACCTGTTTAGTAGAATTAAACCTACTCAAGAGTTCTTGAAAAATTCTATACGATAACCGGGAACCTTGCCAATGTCCTTAAACATTCTAAATGTACAAATGAAGATTTTAAGAGCCATTCTCTGTAACGACTTGAACTTTTATATAGGAGCTGTGGCACGCATAGTCTCAGAATTTCTCCAAACTCTCTATGATAAAAGTCTTTGATACCGTAAACTCAAATCAGGCAAAAATTGGTTGCTACGTGTCATGGTTACCATAGCAACATGTCCTAAAGTTTGAAAAATGGCATTTTTCAACATATTCAGAGTCCCACAGTTAACGTTTGCAGCAAAGCAAACAAGTGGCAATGACTGTTTCTGAAAGTTGAAGGCCTGGAGTCTTAAATGCATGATAAACATGTTTGGTAAATCATCTATAACATACGTTACTATGGAAACAAAGTATTCAAAAGTAAAAATTTTGTTCATTTAATTTTATAAAGTCATACACTTAAGAAAAAAAACAATTATAGGTTGAAATGCAAGCAATTAATAGAGAAGAGATCCTTGTAACATATACCAAGGACAAAATATGATATTTCTTACAGGTTGGCAATGGTTGCCATGGTGTTAATACCACGAAGGGATTTTAAGTTTACTCTCTTAGTGTTTTAATCTTATCCTATCTTTTTAAAAAGCATATTTCTATATAACTGATGATCAATTTTTAAAGGCCTTGGTGTGACCCTAATTTTCACATTTCAAAAAATTCAATTTCAATTCTTTAAATAGTGCGTTGCTATGGAAATAAGGCAAAAAAACATGCATAAAAATCTGAAAAAATACTCTGTTTCCTTGGATACGTACAGTTGTATGTAGATTCCCAAAACTTTAATGATTGATATATGTGAACAACTAACCTGACTTTCAGTTTTGACTGTCACCCAATCTCTAACTGGATGCAAAAAGCTGACACATAGGGTCTAATATTGACAAAAAATTAACAAAATCGAACATTTTCTCTTCTTGGTAACCATAGCAACAGTGTTGTATTTTTCAATAACCTTTATCAATATATGATATTCAACTTTAGTTCTACGAGATAAGTACTATTCAAGGTGATTCAAATAATATTTTTCTTGATTAAAAGGTTAGTAAATACCCAAAGCAGCAAAAAAATATCACTTTAAACAACTAGTACGTTGTTTCCATGGTTACACTGCAAAGTAACAATTAATCTCAATTTTTCTTATGTTGTCGGTGTTGCAAGGTCCTAAGGATGTATATGTGCCAGTCATGAATTTTATTGTATTTCCTCAAGATAGAAGCATTAACCCAATCATAGCAACAGATTTTGCATGGTGACACTGTGTTACCATGGCAACCATGAAAGTTATTTTTAGAATAATATTGCCAATGCCTAATTACATTAGGTCAAATATTTTTCATTGTTTTTCTTACGTTGTTGATTGAGTTTGATCATGTAACATCTATCATTTGTGACTACAGAGCGTTTTTCAGCATTTTTCAGCATCTAAAATGTATTCCAAATGTACCCATGGTTACCACTTACTTAGAGATTAATTCTAAATAGTTTCTTTAAAGCATAAGTGGCAACAAGGTGTCATGTTTTTGGGAGAATGGTTTGTTTGTTTTTCTTAGTCTTTATTAAGACTTAATAAAGAATTAAAGTAGCTGAAAATCTCAATTTTTTCAACTTTTCTGGCTGTTACCATGGCAACCAAGACACATAGCAACGAAATTTTATTTGATATATGTTTCTGGTGTCAAGTTGTAATAATGGGCAAAGTTTCATCAAAATCGGTGACCATGCGTGGCAAAGAAGTTTAAGTGGTTACAGAGAATTGCTATTAAAAGTGATATCAGTATAGAAAAAACCCTCTTCCAGTTCTATGCACACCCTATTAACTTTGCCCAAAATCAACAATCACCCTAAATTCACATGTTTTTCTTGTCATATATGGAATTGATAAAAAAAAAAAATTGCCAAAAAATGAAGTTGTAATATTCACAAGTAATGTGTTTTATTTTTATATATAATTTTTAATTGACGGTTGGTGATGGAAAGACTGAAGACATTTCGTTTGTTTTACAATATATTTGTTAGTTGGTCGTTATCTTCTATAGTCAGTAAAACATCCAGATATGAAACAGATGTGGCAGGCTCTGTGGCATCTTTTATTTCAAGTTCACTGGGATATATCAATATAGAAGTAACTATTGTTAATTGATAAAACGTCGTCGATTGATCTGAATATCGAATTGAGGGCCACAACACGTGTTTTTTTTTATTTTCTTCTCATGTAGACGTTTTGAATAAATTCATCTTCAAAGGAACATAAAAACAGGTCGGCTGATGAAAGAGTACAATTAGTTCCCACCGGAATTCCAACATTTCTTGCAAGATCTGGTCTCCGAAGACTATATAAATATTGTCAATGTGGCACACCAAATTCCTTTTAAAGAGGTTTAACCATGAGCTTTTGATGGGCAAATATGAAAAAAAAATACCTTGACACTGTCTTCTGAATGTATTAAATGTATCAGATGGATGTTGAAATCGTGCATTGAGCGATTTTTTTTTTTGGGGGGGGGGTTATAAAAACCATTTATCCTTCTGTCTTCTTTAATGCAGAAGTGAAATAAGAATTAGATATATTACATGATCAGTATGTACTGGTCTGACAAAAAGGAAAAAATTCCTCAAAACCATTTGTCAGTTTTAAATATTTTTTTATATTCCCAACATCCAAAATGAATTTAAATTACCATATCTATACTGGATTCCAAATCTCCTTAAAACGCTTACAAACAAAGATACATACCGGGTTCCAGTAAATGTTCTACCGAGCCTCTTTCTTTACGCCTTACTAAAATATTTACTGTAATGAAGGAGAAACTTCAGGAGTACTATGCAACAGTATACTAGTATTAGAGAAATCTTATAAATCAAATGTAGATACTTAAAAACTCCAAGGAAATTTTAGAAAATTTGAAAGCACAAAATTTTAACAAGATCTCTAACATCAAATGCACGACTTTTCAACACGTTATACAACCATTCCCCTCTATAAATTAATATCCAGGCTTTTTAACATCAAAGACAGCTGCTTTTTAAATAAAAATGGAGCTCGTAAAATACTTTGTCATTTGTCATTTCAAAATTATTTTGTGAAAAACATTTTGATTGTACACACGAGTACTCTGAACTTGATGTTAAAAAGATACTTGAGTTTCTGATTGAAAATATCTATGTAGTTTTTGGAGATCAGCTCTTCAACAATCTGTTGGAAATCCCATGGGACCAATTGCTCCATCTTATTACCAGACCTATTTTTGTATTCATATGAAGCGGAATTTACTCAAAAACTTTTACATGAGAAGAAGAAAACAATTGCTGTGGCCTTCAACTCGACATCTAGATATATCGACAACGTATTATCAATTAACAATCGTAACTGTCATTCATATGTCGACTCGATATATCACAGTGAACCTGAAAAAAAAGACACCACAGAGTCTGACACATCTGTTTCTTATTTGGATATTTTACTAGAAAAAGACTCAAATGGCAACCTAACAACAAAGGTTTATGATGAACGTGATGACTTCATTTTTTCAATCTTCAACGTTCCATACTTATGTTGCAATATACCCTTATCACCTGCATATAGGGGTTTTGTCTTCCAGTTGATTCGATATACAAGAGCATGCTCTACGTATGAACAAATTGTAAAACGTGGCAAGCTATTAAAAAACAAGTTGATAAATCAAGAATATCAACAGTCTCGTTTGAATTCATCATTTCGGAAAGTTCATCAAAATCATTTCAAATTTGTATATGCATACAAATAAGTACTCGTACATATCTTTTATACATTCAATGCATTAATGGAATAAAGTGATATTAGTTTTGATATATAGAACACAAATCACCTATACATACAGTGTATTATATACAATTTCATATCTCTTTAAAAATATTGAATTTTTTTATGGATCTGAATAAAAAGAGCTTAACACATAAAGTACATAAAAAGAGCTTAACACTTGTTATTCTGAAGTCCCTTAGCAGTCCATCACCAATAAATAAAATTAGAATATGATAGATGTTTCGTAAGGAGAGAGAGGTTAATTATAAAAAGGGGATCTTAGAAACTTAAATACTACTACAAAATAAATAATTCCATGGTAAAGTATTGATTACAATTTTTGGTAAATTTGGTTATTAGTTATTTTATCTTAATTATTATCTAATTATTATTTTTAATTATTATTATTATTCATTTGGTAAATTTGGTAAATTTATGGTAAGGTATTAGCTTACGATTTTAGGATATACTAAGTTACAATTTTTTAATCTACCAAAGATATCCTTCTGCTAGCGGATCCAAGTTTTACATTGATTTCTCTCAGTTCTTTCTCAGTTTGATAACAAATGAATTCTAATTTTCTCAATACATCAGCAATAATCTCAGCTTTTTTTGCTGATATGTTCACATATATTTCATTTGCTACTTTGTTCCGCCATTGCACTGAGTTAACATTCACCGGCTGAACAAAAGTCAGCACTACTGGCAAAATTGTAGCAACGGAAATTATAATTCCAAGTACTGGGTTCAAAACTCGTACAACAAAACCTAAAAGACTAGCAATCATAAAAATACCTTGTGGGTTAATTTTAAAATTATCTCCAATATTAATTGTACAAGGTATGTGCGAAAACTCTGCTTCAAGCATTTTTTGAAAGTCCTTCAAAAAACCAATCAAAAGCATATCTGTAAACTGTTGTCCAACATTTTCAAGTGTCTCTGAAATTAATTCTTTTTTAATCCGTCCAATTGTGAATGGCGAACGACAGATATAACTCTCATTACGAACTGATCCGATATAATGTCTCTCACTTACAATTCTTATATTTTGACAACCTTTTTGTATTTCTTTTTCTGAAAACGCAATATCTGCAGCTTTTTTCACGATGTTTTGAAGCTCGTCCATAGGTATGCTTTTAATAACTTTTTCAACCCGATCTTTGAAAGAATCTATCGTATACTTTGTACAGAAAAGAAGAATTTTCTTGTTTGAATCTGATTCGTGGAAGATTCTAACTTTGTTTTCTTCAAGCATGTAATGGTATTGTTCGTCAACAGCTAGTTTGGTGTCTATCACCGATTCAGAATTGCTGGTTACAAGAAATGATTTTGGCAAATGATGTATTCTTCTAAATTGATCCAAGGAAACTTTGGGCTGCTGTATAAAAAAAGAATCAGTGAAATGAGTTTGAAATAAATAATAAGTGTAAAAGAAATGAAATAAAAATTTTATCCCTAGTTTCTAATTTACATCATAATTTATACAAATTTATCTTGTGTCTAATATGATTATTCTATTTATTAACGAACTTTACCTCATAAACTGTAAGTTTTCTGTTGGAAGGTTTTACTTCTACTCTGTAGATGCACACACGACCGTCTCCAGCATAAATATCCTCGCACAGATTACTGACATCCACTAAGACAACTCTACTCTCCAGGGATTTTAATCTGCTTCTAAATTCGTCAAAGTGTAATGATTGCAGTAAATGATGAGTCAAGGAAACATCAGATTCCTCTCGATGTATATTATCTATCGTCCTCAGGACAGCCACGACATCAGCAACCTCTGTAGGTTCAAAGCACAGTGTCACAGGACATTCCATCCCTTGTTCTGTACAAAAGGAATGCGTATACGGAAAATTATGCAGTCAGCAGTATTAATAAGAATGCATAAATAAAAGAACAAATGCACAGAAATTAGAATATGTTGTTTTACCATCTGAAGGGAATAACTTAATTTCGGAAGATATTTTACTGAAGTGTATCCCCTATTTTTTCTAAAACGAAAATTTCAGTCGTACATACACGTTGCTGTTACAGTATTCAGTGTGAGCGGTGCTCGAGGCGCTCGTTATAAATTAAGTAATGTAAATAACAACCATTGAACTTCGCGAACGTAGCGATTTTAAAAAATCTGTTCTGTCCCTTTATTTAGTAAAACCAACAACAAGTTGCATAATTCACATTGGTTGATGTGCCACACTTGATTTCTAGTACGACCCCCTAACCCCCCCCCCTCAATCACCAAAACCTACCCTACAATTTGATATAAGGAATCAGTCGCCTTGAGAGTCGAAGTGACGTTATGTCATTCGCTTCTGAAACATTTCTGTTGAATTTCATAAGTTAAAAAAATTGCAAATGAAATATTTGGAAATAACGAACAGTATTCAAGCTCAAAAGTCCATTAAACAATACAAAAATAGGAGCAGAGCAAACACAGACCCCCAAAACATCAGAGGTGGGATCAGGTGCCATGGAGGAGTGAGCATCCCTTGCCGACCGGTCACACCCGCCGTGTGCTCCTTGTCATGATCGGGAAATAACGGAAAAATCCATCGACAATTCAGTGTGTAAATAATAGCCTAACAATTAGTATGAAAAACGTCAGTCAGCATTTGACTCAATGATAAATTGTATTTGCTGACAAGATCATTGTATCGACCATAGAACTTAAGAAATGATAACTTTAAACGAGACTGCTGAAATTCTTGTTTCATCAACTTGTTTGTCAATAATTTACCTCCTTTTAGAAATTGTACATACGTAGAGCATGCTCTTGAGTATCGAATCAACTGAGAGATATAAACCCCGTATGCAGGTGATGAAGGAATATTGCTGCATAAGTAAGGGAGTTGACGATTGAAAAGTTAAAGTCATCACGTTTATCATAAAGCTTGGTTCTTAGATTACCATTAACGTCTTTTTCAAGTAAAATATCCAAATATGAAACAGATGTGTCAGACTCTGTGGTATCTTTTATCTCAAGCTCACCGGAATATTTCGTATCGACATAAGAATGGAAATTACCGTTGTTGATAGACAATATGTCGACGATTGTAATATTTTGTTTTCTTTAGCATTGCTTAATTGATAAACTGCTGACTCCTATATATAAAAACTTGTACGTGTCTAAGTCGTAATTGCACTTCCAAAATACCAATAAGCAAATTAGAAATTATAACATGTCACTTACCAAACTTTAAAAGCACGTTCAGACTTAAGCTTAATCAAAAAAGTCAATACAATTATTTCCGTTGTAGGAGTAAATGTATATAATATACTACTCTATGAGAATGTGATTAACATTATTAATTCATGTACTGAATTTATATATATGAACACTGACAATAATTGAATTGTTTTTAAGACTAATAAAGAAAGGAATATTCATGAGAAACGGTCAGGTGATCATTTACTCTTGAATTAAGTAAACATCATTTATTTTCCATATGGCTGGTGCATGGGCAAACCGTGGAAATAAAATAGGTACATTTATTAATGTCAAACAATAATGCGATTAATAAAGTGTGCAAAAATTCTATGCACAATGTCGGTTTCATTTGAGCAGAATTTAAATAAAAATACCGAGGGTCATACATGTACATTAATGTATACTGTGTTTAAAATTCAACAAACGTAACTTAACAATAAACTAATGGCATATAAACTGCTTTGGAATATTTTAGTTTTCATGATACTATGTTTCTGTAAAATTAGAAATGATATGCCTTTTTGCCTGTTTTGCCGATGTGCTTTATTTCTTTGAGAACTAAAGGGCATTTACTTAACTATTTTTCATACAATGAATTGGCTTTACCATTAGTTTTAACATTTTCTGTAAAAAATCTATATTTCTTTCTGTGTTCATTAGCTCATTTGCATGAAAACTCTCAAAAGGCATAACTTACTTGTGGAGGGGGTGAATTTCCTCGACTGACGTATGACGATCTTATGGTCTCTAGCTTTATCAGAAATTATGTGTTCCCCTACGTGTACTGTGCATAGATAGACAAGGCATGTTTTGCAGTGTAACTGTATCTCATTAGTCTCGCAACTATCACATCGTAACACATCCTGGGCACTGATTTGAGGGTCCAAAGTTAGTTTTGCCTCTTTAATTTAAAAAAAAAATGTATTTATTTCCTATTCATATAATTCTTTTTCAAATAAAATGTCAAGATAAACATAAATGTAATCTGCATTGTTTTTCAGGCGTAATGAATACAGGCTGTTTTATTCTGGTCAATTAATATTTCCTTTCCTGAACCTTCCAGTACACTTACCCATAAAATGGTCCTGCCCATATACCACTTAATTAACCAAGACCAGATGTTTCATTTCAAACATCCATATAAATTAGAGACTTCCATATCCAATTTCAAAAAGTTTCCTCTGAGAATCCAGGTATTAAAAAAAAGCTTTGCAATATTGTAAATGTTGCAGAAAATGGGTTTATCATTTTATATCTGAGGCAAAAAAAAATTTAAAACATGAGCCCAACCCTTCATCCAAAAAATAAAACATGTTTTATAATTTTCAGAAACAGTTCTTTCATTATATTATTGCTCATTTTAGATCACACAAACAGACAGACAGACAGATAGACAGACAGACAGACGAACAGCTAGCAAAGAGCTAGACAGACAGACTAGGGACAACAGATGATCAGGAAAGCTTACTTGAGTTTTCAGTTCAGGTAAGCTAAAATACAATTTTGATCACAGTAAAATCTTTAATTGTATCTGATTTCATTTAATTACAAGATTTTTTTTTTTATTTTGTGATTGCCGATAACGTCTTATTTCAGGGAGAAAAGTATTTCATTTTCTATTGTTTTTCCAACAGTAGTAGTATACAAAATTTTGGTACCTGATACTTTTTTAACCAAAGAGCCCCTTTCAGAGAGCTTGTGAGTCTTGGTTGCATCAGAGTTCTTGTGTTCTTCCACACAGGCCCTACACAGATTGACAAGACATGTATCACAGTGCATTTGTACCACGGCGGTTTTACACAGGTCACATCGCATCACATCAGTGGCACTATTACGGGGGCCCACAACTTGATGTTTTCCTCTTTAATTTATAAAAATATTAAACACATTATATTTATATATAAAAACAGGAAAATTTGCAAGCGGAACTGTAATCAAGGTCAAATTACCCCTTCGGTTCTCGGTAGGTACATGATAATGTCTTCCGTTTTCTTGGCATTGTTCACTTCTGTTCTCAGCAGGTCATGTAACCTGAAGGGTATATATATATATATATATATATATATATATATATATATATATATATATATATATATATATATATATATATATATATATATATATATCCATTTCTATTTGTTTTCTCTGTGATAACTCTTTGAAAGTTAGTTGAATTGATTTTTTTATCATTCTACTGGAATGTAAATTTCGCCGAGCGAAAGGTTAGGAGCTAAGAAGGTTTAATATGCATGTAATTCTTGTGGGGCTGTCTTTGTGTTTGCCCGTTATGCAAATTATCCCACGTTTCCAACTATCGTTGATGCCCTGGCATACTCTACTAACTAGACAGTGATTCCTTAAATATATATATATATATATATATATATATATATATATATATATATATATATATATATATATATATATATATATATATATATATATATATATATATATATATATATATATATATATATATATATATATATTGAGACAGTCGGGTTGATTAGTTAGTCTGTTACTGGCGGCTGAAGTGTGAAGATAGCATAAAAGAATAGAGCCAGACGTCTAAGGTAGTGTAATTAAGTGATACCTGAATAAAGTCTTACGAATAAAGAGCCAAACGTTTAAGGTAGTGTAATTAAGTGATACCTGAATAAAGTCTTTCGGGACTTTGTTAGAGTATATATAATTATATTATACTGTAGATATACAGGGTTTTGGCGGAAGGTGAGAATGTGAGTTAGATTTCCGTTGCCTCTGTCTTTTTCGTAACACAGTGTCATAGGCTGTAACGTCATAGTTGAACGGTTGAACTCGTCATAGCTAAACCATTGCGAGATTGATAAAAGTTGTAAACATGGATTTTAAACGACATATTTGAAAAAAAACTTTGGCAGTTTAACTATTAGTCTCTGTCAGGATGGCTTATTAACTCTATCTTATGATAGACCAGAGATTTTTTTTAAACACTTTTCGTGAAGGGATGGAAAATAGTAAGTTTTGCCGCACTTCTGATATTCTGAGAATACCATTTTGATATCCTTTCACACTGTGTCAGAATATCACTTTTATTCAGTAAATAAATTACAGTATTTCACTGTTGAAAATGTAATAAATTTGTTTTCTTAATAAAAAGAAGTTATCGAAATACAGACCAACTGCCCTCCCTATGCCTACTTCTTAATACAAAATGGCAAATAGGCCTATTCAGTTTTGGGAGCAGCGAGGCAGTACGATGTGCCACCATTGTATTGAAGAATGACATTTAGCCAATCAAATGCTAATTCTACCTTTGTTAGAATTAATTTCAGATTAAATTGCAATAAATTTAACGATACGTACATACTATTATGTGCAAAAAATGCATATCGACCGATGACGTAACCGTCGAAATTAGCTCTCGATTTTTACATGTCACTTTTTAAATGCATATGGTAACAGAAAAAATTACAAGTTTTTTAGAAAGTTTTAATAGAAAATTAATACACTTTGAATGAAGTATTTTAGGTACAACTTATTTTTGTGGATAATTGTTTATTTGATATATAAGATTGACACATCTCGATGGACTGTCGAAGTATGAGCACACAAGAATAAATAATTTCT